GAGAAAGGCAAACCCAAAGCACTGCACAACACTTCTGATGAGGTCTGGCAGGCTCAGATGTAGCACCTTTGATTACCATGGTGATGTCGGCTGAGCCAGGCAGGGACTGCCCTAAGACTACTATGCATGTATGTAGCATGCAGTCCCCTTGGTGCCCAGTGTACTTTCAGTTAGCTCATTCAGCTGCTGAGTAACTGCAGAGTAAGGCTGACAATTCAGCAGTGGTACTTAGCTCTTGTCAAACCCTTAGTAAGACAGTCCACAGGACTGTGTTAGAGCCCTGGTTGGCAAGCATGTTTACCAAAACTTATACAGTATTTGTCAATATTCAGAAAATGCTGTGCTAGGAGGAAAGCAATGCTTCAGGATTGGCTACTTTAAGCTCCACTTCATGGGTGAAAATACAGTAGATGCTCGTGTGTGAATGCTCTGGAGCATAAGGGAATGGGACAGATAGTGCGAAGGTAGTACAGATTAGAGTGAAACACTGTTCATTCTTGCTTCTATTTGCATCAGTCCCAACTCTAGAAAATTTCTCAGTTGAGACCACCACAGGTTCCTAAGGCCTTAGGCATATAGCCTCCAAAGAGATCTGCAATCAATAATTCAACATAGCAACAGATATTCTGGGCTTAAGAGCAGCTGCTAGTAGCAGGAGTCACCTCCAGGTGTGCAAGCAGGAGGAAGCAGTGAGCACTTAATTCCTTCTCCCTGCTTTGGTTGTCTCTAGCTTGGACAACCACAGAGCCACCTCTAAGGCCCCGCGTGTCAGACACTCCCCAGGCTAAGATACCGTCCTTCCTACAGAACAAATCTAGCGGTATCGGGATGAGGATGGAGCCAAGTCATAGTTTCCTCACTACTGTGGACACTTCGGGTGGTCAGGGATTTTCTCTATTGTTCACAGGTTTATCAGAGTAGATGCTTAGGAAACATCTGTTAAATGGAGAGTAGCTGAGATTATGCAAATAGTTCACCCGTTGGGTTTGGTGAAGATATTGAGAGGATGCCAGTTTAGCATGTCCTAACATTTTTAGGTGTTATTTTGTTTGAAACATTTTTTATCAGGTGCTATTCACTCATGTAGATGTGGGTTACCTTGTGAATAGCCTCATCATCCGACTGAGCTTGTTTTCTAGACAAGGTTGACTTTGTAAGCTCCACAGCCCTACATCTACTTTAAATTAAGTTGAACATAAAATCCGATACTCTGAAATACCATCAAACCTAGGATACTGAAATATGAGGGTCAGGAGATCCTTGGGTCAGGCCAAGGGGAAAAATTGTTTGTTGAGGGCAAAGGCCAGTCAGTACGGGGGTGCATAGTGAAGCCTCTGTTATCAACTGTCAGTAACACTTGTGTCTATTTAAGAAAATGGGACTAGACAAATAGGATATACCTTAAATGGCTGCAAAAAATCTAAAATAGAAACCTCTGCCAAGTACATACTACTACTGTTGTAAAAATTCAAGGGGCCTGTTGGCTGAAGAGATGACAAGATGCTACATACCTCTCAGGCCAGAGGCAGTCTGAACCGTTACTGAAACATCTCAAATTATCAGGCAAAGATACAAAGTTCTTATCCGATGTAACCAGTGACTAAGAAATTTTGCTAACTGGAACCATGTTAGAATTTTGGTCAATAGTAAAAATATGCCTCCCTATATAACACTACTAAAACAGTAATCCTTCAATATGACTGGTTCTAGCATCCCTGCAGATCTCAAAATCTTCAGATGTTGAAGTCTTTTGATTAAAATGTGGTATTTGCATATAACCTACCCACATTTTCATATATACTGTGCTTTAAGTCATCTCTAGATTATTTATAATACTGTACTCAATACAATGTAAACATTAATGACTAATGTTTACAGAATGATGGAATGAAAAGGCTGCATGTGTTCAGTACAGATATATTTCTAATAAAATAACAAAATTAATGGGTCTTTTCAAAGATGGGTTCCTATATGTAATATATACAGATGTATTTTTTTAAAGAATAGTTTTGATCTGCATTTGTTTGAATCTGCAAATGCAGAACCCATGAATATGGAGGTCACACTGTAATATGGGAAGGAAAAACAAAATATTCTCCAGAATTTTGAACAGACCACAATTTTTCCCATTATAAAAAAAAAAAAAAAATCAAACTTCATCTTAAAACACCTACTTTAAATAATAACACTGACCAGATAGCCTACATCTACTCAGGAAGGTGGCATTAAGTGGAAAGAACCCCCAGGATCTTAGATGGCTCCTTGGCCATCTCTGGGATTTTCTTTTTTATAAAGTGGGGACAATACAACTAACCCTGTAGATTTACAAAGATTAGCAAAGACAGTCTTACATGAACTTTAACATTTAGCAAGTAGATCATATGTAGGAACTACTAATATATAAAAATGCATTTAAAAATAACCTCATAAAATACTTTTATAGTAAAAGAAAAAGAAATCATACTGGCAGGTAGAATTTCTCTGATGAGTGGCTGAGATGAAGACATTTAGTCCAATTTTCACTATACAAACCATACTGATTATAAACTAAGAATCTAAACAGCCACATTCTTACCTATCCTTATTAGTTTTATTATGGTTTGGCTCTAGATGTCCCCAAATACTCATGAGGGCAGGGGTTTAGGGAGGTGACTGGCTCATGGCCCCATCATGCCCATCAGTGGGTTAATCCTCCGGTGCACTCACAGCTGAGTGTGCGGTGAGGAGGCGGGGCCCTTTTGGAAGAGACAGGTCACTGAGGGGTAATCCGGAAGGTGCACCTCCCTCCCTGGCACCTATCTCTGCTTCCTGCCCATGGCATGAACAGTTTTCCTCCACAGCAGGCTCTTCCACCAAACCATTCCTGCCTTGGAACTGGCCAACCATCCAAGGACTGAGGCCTCTGCCACTGTGAGCTAAAATAAACCTCTCCTTTTTATTTTTGTTTGTGGTTTTGTTTTTCTTCCGGTCTAGGAATCGAACTCACGACCTTGCACTTGCCAGGCAGGCACTTTGCCCCTGAGCTAAATCCCCAGCTCCCTCTCCTCCTTTTTAAGTTGTGCGTGTTCGATGTTGTGGCCTAGTAAAGAAGAAAGTGACTATGACACTTTGTTAGCCAGCTCTTTAACTTTTTAGCAAAATTAATATTATAAGAACATTAAAATTTATTTTGATTTAATAGTTTCCCTGTCAAAAATCAGCCCTGAGGTTAACATGAATTTATGTTTGATATGTGTATCAGTCTCCAAAAGGCAGTTCTTGTATCCATGAACAAATACCAAACCTATTAGATTCCTCACTTCACACAGTGAAAATAGAAGAACAGCATTTATGACTTGTCAAGGTCACATTATTTCAAATAGTTTTTAGGAGGAAAAGATTCTAAAAGTTTTCAAGATGAGCATGACATTGCTCTTACCAAATCCTAGGGCAGATTGTTAAACAGATGGCACGCTGGGCAATTAAAAAGGGAGGTGGGACAGTTCCACCAAGAGCGAGTCCTTTCCAGCTAACTTCATTTTCTTTCTTAATACATCAGCAGATTACAATTATACTACAAGGCCTTCACAGGGTAGTTCTGTAAGGATCAATGCTATTTATGTGAGTAACTTTAGGAGTGGACACTGACTTACCAGCAATGCAGTAAAGCATTTCAGCAAGAGAGAACCATGTGCTATACGTGCCTTAAAAAAGACGTTGGCAATAAACACAATATACACAGACCACAGCAGCACCATTTTCAGGCTGGCAATCTTGCCTTTGAGCCCTCTTCTTGTTAGGTTTCAGGAGAATCATGTTTAGTTCCGAGCAACAGTGTCTTATGAGGAATTGAAAGCTAATCTCAGGTTGGTCTGGAATACATATCATGTCAGATTTCAAAAAAGCTTAAAGCCTAAAAGGATACAAGGAGGTGGCCACCCAAAAAGACAGAACTTTTCTGTCTAGTTTCACATGTGTTATTTATAGAGAAAATTAACACTCTTCTAACAGTGGAAACAATCCCTTTTACAGGTACCCTGTGGCTTTGTTATGGTTTATATCTAGATGTGCACCGGCCCCGCCAAGCCTCAAAAGTGGGGCTTCTGGGAGATAACTGGATCATGGGAGCAATTCTCATCAGTGGATCAGTCCATTGATGAGTTTATAGCTAAATGTGATCTGGGAGGTAAAGCCTGGTAGGAGGTGGGGCACAGGAAGGGTCTGTCTCCCTCTATCAATCCTTGATCATTCCCTGCTTCCTGACTGCTGTGCCACTCTGCCCTGGGGCCAGCCGACAATGGACTGAAACCTCTGCAAACCGTGAGCCAAAATAAATCTTTCCTCCTTTAAACGGTGGGTGTCAGGTACTGTGTCTCAGCAATGAGAAAGTGCCTGAGACAGGCTCCCTCCAGCAGCAGCTGGATAAAAATTATGTCATTACAGAATGATTGTGGTACTGCAGCTGAGGGTAATATTGCTGTTTTTAGTTCTGAGACTACTTTTCTAGCACATTTATTTCCTTCCTGTTAGGGAGAAACCAGAATTATAAAAATTCTAAACAAAACGATTTAATTTTTGTCCAATTTAAGGTGAACATACTCTTTTATCACCCAACTGACCCTTATGAAATGACTGAAGTCTTTCAAACATTTGTAAATCACAAGGAATTTTTCTAAACAAGTCGTTTTACTAAGAGTCGCTTTATTTCAAGAAAGCCACTGAGGTGAGGTAGGTCTCTCCTGAACTTTTGAGTTTCTACAGTCCCGAAACAATGTGGGAATGAAGTTCTGCTGAAACCTACAGGAAGGCTGGGAATGTGAGGCAGGAAGGCCGTCTACAGCTGCAGAGCTTCAGCGGCAGGGAGACCATCACCCCCCTGTAGGGGTCTCTGCAGGGCCTTCTCAGATCAGAGTTCATGATCTCAAAGTCATGTGTCAGGACCTTACTCTCTGTGTTCTTTGCTGTTAACCCTAAATATTCAGGGCTACGTGACAGAAGCGATACGATTACACAATTAAATATTAGAAATGACCACCGAGTATAACTTGTTTATTGTTTATGATTTACACTGAAAACAATGGGCTGGCATTGTAGAACAATAAACCAATCATTACATTTAGACCTGGGCTTTCAAAAAACTTGCATTCCACTTTAACAGTTTATATATATTTAACAGCTTATGTATGAGTCCAGATCACAAATAAGAGTTAGCTTAGAGATAAACAAAAAACACACAAAAAACCACATGAGTCTAACTTTAAATATCAGCATTCATATTACAAGAAATAAGAAAATGTTCAAAAAATAAAATTATTAAGTCACAACATAAAATAGAGAAATAAGATAAATGATACTTTATTAATATTCATACTTATTTCTAATTAATCTTTATATATTCTTAACTTTTTTCAAAAGGATCCAAGGCAAGATCAAATAATATTTTGGGGTCTGAACTTGTCACTCTCAGCTTATAGAGGCTTGTTACAACAAAAATCCTAAAACTTCAATTTCTTTTTTTAAAATTTAAAACAACTAGTTTTCAACTTTTCTCCTCTGTAGCAGCCGCTTATAAATAGCAGGGAGTCAGTAACAAAGGACGGTAACAGATCGAAAGCAAAAGGTACAACAGCTACCTTAAATTCAGTTTACAACAGTGCTGGCTGAGCTTGGAACCAAAACTTCTTAACTGGCAGATAACTGCTAAATCTTAACCGGCAAAAAAGAAACATGAACGTTCTTTGGGATAGCTGCTATCCAGGCGAAGAAAACCAAGGTCCCTTAATACTGTCTAAATATAATGTGTGGCTTATTACAAAGTGATCTGTACCAATGTAAGTTTAACCAGTGTCACAACTGATCAACACTACTTGAAAGGAAATAAACAAAAATACCGTACTAGCCACGAATTTCCACAAGATACACATGAGAGTTAATTTTAATCTGATCTGACTCCTTGACACTAACTGATCATCAATGAAGTATGGCATGGAAAGATCACACAGTAGAAAACAGGCAAAGATTAGTTTATACAACAGTGACTATATACATCCCAAGGAAAACATGCTAGCTAATGCAACATTAAGGCCTGAATGTAAGCATTTCCGAAGTCACAGAAGCCCCAAAGAACCCCTAAATTACAAATTCACCACATTACATGCATGCAATGTTCACTTTGTTTTACCCATAAAAGGATACACAGTATTTTGTTGTAAATACCAGACACATTTACAATATATGCAAAAATTAGAATGCAAGTGTTATGTTCCTTATATTTAAGCCTCAAATGTGCCAACAGTGAAAATTCATTTATTTTTAGGAATGGAAAAAAGAGACAAAATATAAATACTCAGAGAATCACACAAATAAAATGAAATTCTGCATTTGGAAAGCCACAGAAATATTCCTTCAACTAAACTTGTTGATGGACCACTTGGATGGGTGTACACTCACTGTGTGCTTTACTACTTCACTTGCTCAAATGTGATATTCTAAAAGCCTCTGTTTTCTAGTGGTGATTATCGTATCACATCTGAAGTTCACAATCATGTCCACACTTGTACAAACCTGCCTACTGTGTGTGATCACCTAAGAGAAGCTGTGCAATTTTGGTTTGGGGTTAGAGAATTAAAGATGACCCTGTGCAAAATTTCAGACCTCCCCAAAATATTTTAAAACTAAAATCACCCGAAACTAACTATATCCAATACTTATTAAGCAAATATGCCAGTAGTGTTCTGGACCTTCAAGTATAATTTTAACCAAGTACATACAGGTTGAGTTCAGATCAACCTATTTCATAAGGCCATCTAATTCGTCTCATTGTACCAAGAACTGAGCACAACAAATTCTTTATATGCTTTACCGATATCTTTACGTGAAGCACTCCCACTGTTTTTTAAATAATTTACAACCTATTTCAGGGAGGGTTATATGTAAGATTTTAAATTCTGTGATATACTGGCCAAAATTTTAGACTTTGGCATTGAAAAGTCCCAATGATAAACAAAGAAGGAAAAGTAGATGCATTTCTAAAAATCTCCGCATTACGAATCAAGAGATTTGGGTACAGCAAAACCAAAGGGCCCAGTGAAATACGCTTTATAATTTATTTCCAATGAAATCAAATATTACTACTGTTGGGATCACAGTCTTCACATCTGATGTGAACAGGAGAGCTTAACTATAATCTCTTCGTGGCAGTTCTTTAGACAAAACCAGTAACGTGTGCCACACAGACGACTCTCTCTTTTGGAGAGAATTAACCGGTAAGCTTGACTCTACAATTAATATCAACATATTCAACTAAAGAGAATGATGCACTGCTTTAACATTCAGCTTGAAAATGTTTAGTACTTTCTGCAAACCTAAATTCAGTTTAGAAAGTTAGTATTCTCCTTCTAAACTATGGCATAGACTATACATAGCATTTTTAATATATTTATATATAGTTATTTGCACATCAGATTTAGAAGAAATGTGAAGATTTACTTTGATAGATTGATCTCATTTCCACTGTTAGGGTTTAGGGGGCTTCTGCAGGGCTGTCATTTGAAGGTGGGGCATCGGGATCAGGCTCAGAGGAAGCAGCTGCAGACGCTTCAATAACTGCAGGTGGGAAATGACGGCGGCACACAGGGCATGTTCCCGACTGAGGAAAGAGACATGTTAATTGCCACCAAAAACATGGATCTTGATAGAGAAAACATGGTGTCACTGTCCAAATAACAAATCAACTATCTTAAAAACAGAAACCAAATAAATGTCAAACCTGTACAAAATAGACAAAATTTTAATATTATGTACTCTATAATTTCTTTGAGGGCAAACAATGTCTTCTAATCATGTTTCTAATTTTTTTCATCATGTTTCTAATTTTAAGGTAATTCACTGAAGGGCTGAAATGAAGCTCAGTGGCAAAATGTTTGCCTAGTATGTACCAGGCCCTGGATTGGATCCCTGGTATCACAAAAAGAAAAAAAAAGTAAAGATAAAAAGCAATTCCCCCTTCCTTTAGTGAATTTTAGTTAAGAGTCTTCAGGGTTGGTGCTGGTGTTGTGGTAGAGGGTGAGCGAAGAACCACAGCATGTACCCTCAGGGAGGCCGGAGTCTGGCTCAACAATGACCTGGACTGTATTACATCTATTATGCACATATTAGAGAAACCACATCCACTCTACATCACCAGGTTTATTTCTGCCAGGACCTTTCTTAATATATACTAAAGCCTCCTTTAATGTAGCACAGACGATGGCCTCAGATCTTTCTTTATAAGCCATGCAATTCCTTCCCAGAAGGAGATGGAGCTACTGGTAGGTACCTTGCACCTGACAAAACAGATCAACCAAGTTAACCACAGACCTGATGCAGAAGGTGGGGAGGGGAAGTAACTGCACTGCGAACACTTTCAGGACCAAGGGGAGATGACAGAGCTGTTCCAGTCTTTAAATTAAGGACTCCTGCTGTTTATTAAATAATTTACTGCCTACCTCAGGGAGGGTTACATTTAAGATTTTAAATTCTGTGAAACTTTGGCCAAAATTTTAGCCACGCAGATCATTCCCTTGAAAATCTGGTCTTTTCCCCCAAAAGAGATCTTGACAGAAGGGAGGCTGAAGAGGTCATGCTATTGAAGGTGACAAAGAACGTATCTTGAGAACTAACTTTCTGGAGAAAGCCAGGAAAGGATTCAACCTAAGCTGCCTCCTCCCGGGACACAGACTGAACAGGCTGTTTGCCTGGGACATGTAGCAAAGTGAAGTCCAATTCAAGGCTATACAACATGTACAATGTCAGTAAGTTAAGAACTCAAGTCCGTAACATTTACCTGTGCACGCATGTACAGAGTAGGCCCTATCAACAACACCTCAAAGTCAGACAGGCGAGTGCAGTCTCGGTCAGCCCCATGAACGAAGCTGTGTAACCTTGGCTGGGTAACAATTGCTAAAAAGTGGGAATACGAATACCAACCTCTTCTCAAGCTACTGTGAGGATGAAATGGGAAAACACGGGTGAAAACCTGGGAAGAAGTGTGATGTACACATTGGTAGATAGGAATACTGGTTAATGAGTAGGTGGGGACAGGAAGAAAAGGAAATTGAGAAAACAAAGGACTGTAGCAAACGAAAAAATGTGCAAATAATCCTTTGTAAAAATAAAACTATAACACCAATTATGGATATTGACATAAAACAGGAGCTAAAGGCAACAACTGAATGATGCATTTGATTTCACACAGGAAAGGTGAACAGAACAGCAGAAGGAAGGAGGGGAGAAAAATAGGAAAAAGGGAAACAGCAGCTGTGCAGGGCAGAGGGGACTTTAACCGTGAAGTGAGGGACTTGGGAACTCTTACTGAGCTGGATGGTAGCTATGTATCTTTTATGAAAAACAGAGATTATGGAGAAGATTTAAGTAAAACTCTCATTTCTTAAGTAATTCAAATACACTTAAATTGTTGGATAAACACATAAAGATAATATAACAAAACTGGACGAGGTGGTTCTAAGTAGGCTATTAAATTTCTCATACACGTTCTCAGAAGCACCAACCCACACTAGTAGAATACCTGTTTCTACGGTTATAGTACCCTCTAAGTAGTGTCAAAAGCTTCTTTGCTTGTGATTTTTGTTTAAAAAAGAAATTTCAGGGTTGTGATTAAAAGCATAGTAAGTAATTACTGTGCCCTCCGTTCTCTCTATGCAATGTTAGTACTGTCAGTTAAAACAGTTTCATATTATCCCCAGTCTGTAAACATTAAAGGCAACCAGTCTTTAATTCTGACCTACTACAAATCCGTGGCTAAACGAAGTAGGCTTAAAAGATAATACTGTTACTATTAACTTATAAGAGAAACTATTAAAAGTATTAAATTTTAAAAAGCAAACCGGAAACTCACCTTCTGTAGCCAAATTGAGACACAAGGCTTGTGAAAGAAGTGGTGACAGGGTAACTCTGTTGCTATATCGTCCTTTATATACTCGCTGCAACAGATTGGACAGCACTGCTCCTGACCAATAGCTGAAAACAACAAATACTCAGATCAATTGCCTAAACTTCAATTTAAAAAACTTAGAAGCCGACAGTAAAAGACAGCGAGGAAAAGACAAAGAAACAGACTTCAATCAACAAAGGTGCATGTTTAATTTATGACAATTTGGAATTTTATAAACATGACTTTTGCTAGAAAAGTTGACTTTTCAATCTATTAAATATTCTTCTACGAGATGGAAGTGTCAGTATCTGGTTTCCATAGACCTAATGAAAGTTTCAACAGTCACGTACTTCCTCTTCTACCCGTGAGGGTGAACTTTTAGTGCTTTCAAAGATAGCAAATAGCCAGCTGTGGCATGCGTGCGATACATTCGCCACAAGCGTCCTAGGTAAACTGATAATTTACTTAGATGCACAACACATCCATCACTCATCACCCGAGATGCGCTCTGCACTTACCAGTGTGATCTTCAAGAACAAGGGTCTCTGGAAGGCCGTCGATGCTCTCCTTACTGGCTGGTGGATTGGCCACCTCAACATCCACTGCAAGGGACTCTAAATGTGCCAGTGCAGTCTGAAGGGGAAACATCACAGTTCTTTGTCAGTAAATATTCTAACTCAGTAGTGGGAAATCATTTTTAAGGTATCTTACAAATTAAATTCATTATATTCTCCTCTTGTTAGTTTTCTCTGCTTTAGTCCTTTGTCTCCTTTGCCTCCTTCAGAAAGAATCACGGTTACCACCAACCCAAACACTAAACACTAGTGCACATACACAATGCCCTCCTTCTCCCCAAGGCTACCTTGCCTCAGTAATCCCCTACTTGCCATTACAATCGTATTTTTGAAGGGCTGGTTTTATCATTCAACTGAGGAGTTCCTATGTGGGCTAGAAAGAAAGTAAGCACTGAAAATTCCCTTCACAAAAGATAAAATGTAGTGCGAGTACCACACATTCAAGGTATATTACCAACGACACACTTCTGAATGGTTTTCTCTACTGCTGGCATGCAGTGAGCACACCCATCTTACCAGCGCGGAAGATTACTAGGCTGTCTGGGTGTGAGGCTTGAGTGTCTGTATAAAATGAAGGATGGAAAGAGCATTACATCACATGCCCACTCGTCTGAGGAATCCTCACTCTTTCTGGGTCCAATTAAAACAGAACACCACCTGTACAATTATGTGTTCTTAGTGCACTTTCTACCTGCCACTTAGGGCCTATCAGTTTCTCAGGGACTGGCTGAGTCCTGTCTCTTCTGGGAACCTAGGTCAGTCGTCCCAGACCACACTGGTATCTTCCTCCTGAACTACTACCACATTTAAGTAATTAATACTATACAGGTTAACAATTCCTTGTATTTTATCCTAATTATGGCATCATTAATAGCACAGAATGATTTAAGATCTTAGCTTTAATTTAATACCCTGTTAGAGGGCTCCTCTCCTGGTGGGAATGCAAAAGCACACAGCCCATTACAGAAACCAGTAGGACAACTCCTCAAAATATGAAAAATAGAATAATCACATAAACCCAAAACCCACTTCTGGGTTTATGCTCAAAATAACTGGAAGCACAGGCTGGGATGGACATTTGCACACCTATGTCCACTGTGCGTTGTTCCCAAGAGCCCACGTGGGAGCAGCCGAAGTCACTACTGATGGATGAACAAACACACACAACGTGGTATATATACACAATGGAATATTTGTCATCCATGAAAAGGAAATTCTACCACATGGCTACAGCATGGATGAACCCATATTATATGAAGTGAAGTAAGACAGTTAAGGAAGGATAAATACTGATAACTAATGTATTATCCCACTTATATGAGGCACCTGAAGTGATCAACTTCACAGACAGAAAGTAGAAAGGTGGTTGCCAGGGGTAGAGGAGAAAGCAAACAGGAGTTACTGTTTGTAGTTATGTGAATGTGCCTAAAGACGCTAAACTATACCCTGAAATGACTAAAACAGTAAACTCTGTGTGCGTTTATTTCACCTCAATAAAAAAATGAACCGACAAGCTGGCCTTCTTATGTACAGGAAGCCTGCCTGACAGCTGCCACTGTATTCTTTTGGACAGCAAACAACCTCATATTACTACCTAGCATAGATACTTCCATAGGTACTAAATAGACTAAAGGGTAGGGTCAAGCCCAAAGCAAAATAAGAACTAAAGAAAAAAACAAAAGGTTCATCTTACGCTTATAAACACAATCATATTCAACGTCAAATTTTACTCTGGATATACAGGGGCACCACGGAGAGAAACAGTGCAGTGGTAAATGAATCACTGCCCACTGCTCCAAATTTATCTCATTTCTACTCTCTGAAAACAGAACTGTGCCCTTTAAGTGTCTTCCCTGTGTCAACTAGCATGACCTTCAGCTTTGCCAGCGGAACACGCCGGGGAGACGACACGGGAGGACACGACTGCTTCACAGCTCCCTTGGGCTCCATGGCCAGGAGCCTGTGGGGTGTGAAGCTTCTCCCGCACCAGTCTCATCCGGCACAGGCAGCTCTGCCAGCTCCTCCAGCGTCTACCAACTGCAGTACTTGGTGGCCAGCAGCTTTTCCTGGCACTCATCTTGGGTGCTTTTGTAGCAGAGTGCTTCCAGTGGAGGTTCTCAGGTGCCTCAAAGGAGAGACTTTTTTGCCAAATTCTGCCAGCACAGTACCGTGTCTGTCATGGCTTATGTCTTCCCCAACAAGGTCTGGATCTCTCTGTAGGGAGTCGGGAGGTAGACAACTCTATCTCAGCCTTAAAGTTGTTTCTTAAATCAGCAGTTCCTATATTCCCTAGCGTCTACTTTATTTCCTACTAGTCATAATAATAAGCCAATCTCTCATGTCCTGTGGTAAGTAATAATAATTTATATTAAACTTTCCCTGTTCAAACTATTAGTGTTCTCTCTTGTGATGGATCCCACACTAACACAAAACTGGTTTTAGGCACAGTCCTGGACAATAGATCTACAAGAAAAGGATTCTGAGATTAGTCTGCTTGGGCCTCTGGGCTTGAGCTTGGTGTTGAGGTCCGCACCAACGGCAATCGGATGCTATTAACCGTGGCCTCTGGTGATATGACAATTAATCACTGTTATGATGAGGAGCTGACACGTCTTGGAGCTGTGGTAACTGCACTTGACCTTAAGGCTTTCGTGATCTGACTACTATAAAAATTGTAACATGGGGACGCGTTATTTTGTGCCTGTACACTTACAGAGCAAACACAAACGTAGGTCTGTAAAGTCTCAGCTCAAGACACAGAATGAGAACCAGAGTTTACATGATAGTGCTAAAAGAAGCTCTTATTTCTGAAACTCAAACAAATTTGTGTGGATTGCTAAATGGGATAAAATGAGATAAAATTATCAATCTTGTCGAATTCTTCAAAAGCTGTATCATTGACTGGTTAGAGAATGGGATTCTGAAACTTGGAAGGAAAGAGCTGGTTGTACTGGGATGAAACCGACCATCACCAATCCCCAGGTCACTCTCCATGCTCTCGGCTCCCTCTGTCAGAAGGCCTAGGACAATCTCACTTGCAGACTCACCTCTTTGTTCTTCCGTGCCCAATGGTGGAGTTATCAGAAAACTACAGTAGTCAAAAAAAGAAAGGCCAGTTGTTATGCTTGATACACTGTGTCAACTTGAGGAGCCTAGAAGCTTAACTAAATGACTCAGCAGTGCTATATCCTGGGGTGAAAAGGACACCGTTCTAGGTTGTTGTTCCTTGTGTCAATTTGAGAAGTTCAGAAGGTTAACTATGCGACTCAGCAGGCAGCCAGGGCCCTTATTTGGTATTCTTCCTTAGCCTGTGCAAGAGCAGGGCCTGGAGATAGTGCGGGTGTGGAGGACCACCCTCCTCAGGATGGGTAGGCTGCATATAATAAAAGGAAAATGAGAGAAAACTGATTGCTGGTTCTTCGGAGCTCCAGTCTTCACCTTCAGCTTGGTCATCTCCTGGCTGCTGGTGCAGCCTGTTCGCCTTCTGCCTGGGGCTCATCAGCCTTCTGGTGTAGACTCTCCGGCCTTTGTGGTAGACTCTTCAGCCTTCCATGGCAGACCCATCAGTCTCCTGATACGGACTTGTATGGACACTGCGGTGAGCTCCAGCCCTGGGGCTGGACTCTTCAATCTCCAGCGTGCAGACACCCTCTGCACGCTTTCTCATCTGACTCCGTGGCTGACTGTCGTAAGCCAATCTTGTAATTTCTTGTACTTTTCTATATTTTGTGTTACATCTGTTTCCCTAGTAAACCCTGACTGATACAGATTTTGGTACCACAAACTCTTTAGGAAAGTAGGTTTGGGTCATTCTACCAGGCAAAGTATTCTAAGCAAGGTTAGGTTCTGGCTGAGGACAGGGAAAATGTGAAAGAGGTTATGGGAGAAGGAAACCATAACTACTAATTATGACCTGTAACCAAATACAGAAACTAGTGGCTTTTCATGTTTTCTATTTGCTTATGTGTGTATTTAATTGTATGTACCAACCATTTTGCTTTCTCTCCTACCCATTTCTTGCCTGAAATTACCTTCACAATTTATTCTTTTTTTGTGTGTGTGGGTTAAGATAGGGTCTCACTTTGTAGTGGTCTTGACCTCACTACATAGCTCAGGCTGGCGTCCAGCTGTGGCAATCCTCCTGCCTCAGCCAGAGTGCTGGAATTACAGGTATGCGCCACTACGCCTGGCTTTGCAGTTTAGTCTTTAAGAGAATACTCCATGTGACTGAAGTTGTGGAGTAATTAGCTTAACTAGTGACAGATACAATGATTTTGGGATTGCTCATTTTGGGGAAAAGGTGAAAACCCTATTTGTAAGAATTGTCTAACTTGCTTGTTAGGTAAGAATACAACTGAATTGTTGGATAGGAAATCACATGTGCAAAGAAAAGTAATTAAGGGCATGGGCTATTCCAGTTATTGAACGGTTGCTTCTGAAATCCAAATTCACTATTTCTGCCAGCTCTGTGAAACTGGATTTGGGCCATGCAATATTTTTCTTTCCAACAGTAGGCATCATGTTAAGCTTGTTCACAAAGGATACTAAAGATGCAGTGTGGAAGAGCTCTGCTTGCCCATGAGGCTTCTGTGGCACTTGTTGCTTTCTCTGGCCTCAGACTCACCATGCACACAGCTTCTCCAGTGGCCAGCTCTTGTGATTCATGCAGCCAGCAGCTGCCCCTAGAACCAACCCTGGACAGTTCCACAGTGGAATGCTTTCAGGAAGAAACCTTCCTAAGCACAGCTTGCCCTAGTACCCTCAAGGGCGGACTTCCAGCAAGTTCCAAGGACAGCTTTCCAGCACTTCTTCCAGAACATGCCACAGAGTAGGGACTCTTCCTTGGGTGTTCGATCTTACCCTAACAGGTGGTGGCTTCTCCTCCTATGTGCTTTGCCTGTATTCCTTATAATTACAATTATTTCTAATACTAGCACTCTCCCTGTTACTCGAGTATCTTATTGTACCTACCAATTCCTATACTGAACTTTCCCATCAGAAGACAGGAAGTAGAAGGTAAGATCCTGTTATCTAAACCTTTCTCATACAAATGACTACATACCTTTAACATGGACTCTGCTTGAAAGAACTAGTCTGTGTTACAAATAAACAGAAACAAGGGATACTAGGTACAGTAAATTTCCATTTGGGCAGGTTATTCCAGGCTGGCTGCTTTGATATGTGTTTGTTTCAACGAGTTCATTAGCTTCCTTGATGAGTGTCTCCATATTTGTAGTGCTAATAAACATCTGCAATTTCATGTATGTACAATTATTGTCTTAGTACTGACATATCTTTTTTTTTTTTTTTTTTTTTGGTTTTTCTCTGGTACCGGGAACCGAACTCACGACCTTGCGCTTGCCAGGCAGGCGCTTTTGCCGCTGAGCTAAATCCCCAGCCCCTAATACTGACATATCTTTAAGACAGTCTGGTACCACTTACAAGCAACAAGAGCAAGAGACTTTTATAGCCACTGTTCTGAAATATCTATACTTTAGGCAGTATAGTATATTTTTAAGAGTTAGCAGAAGGAAGATAATTAAGTAGTCTAAATAACACAACTCAGAGTTTAAATAACCCAAAGTAGACTATATCTAGGTTTGAAGTAGCACAAAATTTAGTTTTAAAGGAACAAAACTATTAATTTTTGAAGATGATTTATAATAAATAATTGAATGCCAATTTTGAATGATCACTACTAAATCAAGATTCGCTGGGTGATTAATGCTTGGTTGGCTCCATATTTAAATATCTCTATGAATACGCCGTTTCCTGAGAGCTCACCATTATATCAGGGAATTTCTTAAATGTCTTAACACAGTCTCACAATAAGGTATACTTTATTATTCCCATGCCTTGAGGCCTATTTTATTATTCCCACTTGACACATCAGATCAGGTTACTGAGTTTAGAAGTGAACCGCATTGTTCAAAATGGCCTATGGAACTCAAATACCCATGCTCTTAACTCCACAATGCTGTCTGTCTTCCCAGGGTCCACACCTCAGTGGGAACATGCTGATTTTGTAAGTCTGGGTGTGGGAATAAATTCAGATTAATTGTCTCACATCTCTCGTCAGACTGACCTACCTGAAAATGAACCTGCAAAGTGTGTATCATGCTGATGCTGTGTTCTCAACTTCCATTTATACTAACCTTTCTCCTACTTTGCAAATAGAAGTGCATTTCTAGCCCATTCAGAGGGACAATCTAAAGTACCGGGGTCACCTGACCTTTAACTGACTACTAAATCTTTTTAGGTGGCTTCTAATCTTTTGTTTTAAAAAAAAATTGAAGAAAATTAAGTTTTTTTTTTTGTTTGTTTGGTTTTTTGGTTTTTCTCCGGTACCGGGAACCGAACTCACGACCTTGCGCTTGCCAGGCAGGCGCTTTTGCCGCTGAGCTAAATCCCCAGCCCCTAAAGAAGAAAATTAAGTTGATGAGATTTCTGGCAAGTACCTCAGAAGGACTGAGTAACACTTTCTGCATTGATTTATTTACGTTAACAAGGTTTCTCCAGCTTACATTCATAAGGATGAAAACCAAAAATATGCTGAAATGTGTTTCATTCTAGGAACAAATATAATCACTCATGAAGTACTTGGGAAAGGAAAAGCCTCCATTTCATTAAGAGATGCATTTCTAGTAAAATTTTATGTTTTAATCAAGGCTAATTAAAATTTTAATTTATCTTTGATTAACTGAGTATTGCTAATTGTAACTCAAAAGAAATTTTTACATAAAAATTTAAACATTTTTCCTGCAAGGAAGTATGATGTGGTAAGCAACACTTAGATTTAAGCTAAACAATTTTATATCTCAACATAAATATGTATGAGGACTTTTTTTCAAATTTGTTTGCGAGTAAGTACAAAAATTTAGCATCACTGTTTCAAAATGTTAGGGATGTTGGTATTTTATAATGACCTCAATCAAATCTGAGGTACACACCAGAGACTAATATACTGCCGGTGATTTCACCAAGACCCACTACCTCACAAGAAGGATGAGTCCAGTTGAAGAAAACAAATGAGAGCAACTATTTCCACAAAGGGATGGGGCTGCCTGCGACACACAAAATGACAGCATGCCGCCAGTTTTTATTATTTGTGGTCCCGTCTAAATATTACTATGAAATCTAAAAGGAAAAGTGTGGGTTATTTCAGTTTCTTTTTTCAAAATGATTCTATAAATGCAGGAGGAGGGACAGCAAAATGGAACTACACTGTAGTGAAGCACCTCAATCAATTCCAAATTCAGAAAAAGAACACTGAAATGTGAGGCCATTCATCAGACAAAAGGACAAATAAATAAAAGTAACTGTGAACTGTGAACGCACTGCCACTGGGTTCCTCATTAGCAGAAGCCAAGATGTGCAAGACTGCAAGCTATTGCACTACTGTTTCTTCTCACTTCTTGTCTTTGTTCTTCCTGGTACTGTTTTTATCTAGCATAACCTTCCACAACCAAGCTCTTCTTCCATGGTGGCAAGCAAATGCGACACTTCCCATCAGTAATTAGTAAAACTTACTTTATTCTCAATACTTCCTCTTAAAGATATCTTCTATTTAAAGATATTATAGGAATACTTCTATTTAAAGATATTATAGGAAATCAAAACCTACTAGCATAAAAATGAAAGACGAATTAAGGGATGTGAACCCAGATCTAGAACAGATGTACCCCACTGTGTTCACTCAAAAGTGATGTAGCTTAAGAAGTTAGGAATTATTAATCTTTACACATTCTGATGAAAGTTATCATAGTGTATGATTCACTATTTCATATATGACAGAATTTGTGAAGGTGGGTTAAATAATCTGGAAAAAGTTCTAAATATATCCTGTTTTGTGAAGTTCTGACTTTTCTTAGTAAAGAGTATTTCTGCTACGGTAATTCTGAGAAAAATATACACTATACAGCATAACTGAGAATAGTGGTCTACATGGAAGAAATATATCTATCTCCAAAGCAGAGGTAACACAAGTATATGTGTGCATCTATGAGGGTATGCATGTGTAAATGGATACTGATCATCTAATTTAGCAATTTAAAATGGAACTTCTAATCTCAGAAAATTTCAAAATGAAATGTTATCACAAATACTCCTGAAATAATAATTATTTTTCTCTTACCCCTGACTCATTCATTAATTATTAATGTTCCATACTTTGGAAATCAAGTTCAGATGTAGTGATTTAAAGGAAATTTTTTATAATGAAATTCACCACTGTAGTACAAGTTGCTAACTGTGATAATATTGGGCTTTTAACCACACACAAATACATCTAAGAACAAGTCTGTGTTTTAGTGAAATAATGAAAAGAAGGCAAGAGAAACTCAGGCAAAGAATGCACCACATTTATGACAGTGTGTATGTATATGGCAGATAAGAAGAAACAAATCTCCTTACTGAAGGAGACAGCAAAGCAGTATTTAGAACCAATGAAAACAAGAGATTTATAATACCTGTGTATCCTCAGAGATCCTCAATTTCATTTCACAAATATATCTGCGCATGTGAATCTGCATAAAATATTCAGATTATCCCTCCTGCCTAATCCAATATAGGGGAAAAGCGTATTTTTTAAATGTAAGCAAAATATTTTCATTGTGCAGTAAAATAAAACCCCTGAGAAATATGAGGCAATCAGAAGGACATAAAATATAACTTACATACACATACTAGTGATAATCACCATTCAGTAACTGCTATTAAATGAATTATTAAGAAAACTATTCACCTTTTCTTAAGAATAGTTTGAAAACCTTCAGATTTTATCATTTGTATCCTATCAATTTATATACAAGCATCAGTGTTACTAAATACCTCCATAGCCTGGGCTAGGCGCTCTTCAAGTGCCATGTAGGTGAGGAACTGAGGATCCACATAAGAAATAGCTTCAGCAACTCCTAGTCCATCCGCAAAGCCATCAAATAGACTGGAAAAAAAACAAAAAAAACAAAAAAAAAACCTTTAATTTGGAAAATCTTATTCTAAAGAGATAAGCATATTAACATACTGATAAAGTAACAAAAACCTGGCAAGCAGAAAATCTTTAAATATTCTAATGTATGGTTTAAGAAGCATACCACTGTTTCTCCAACAGGCTGCCACATTAACTGTGTAACATATTTGTAAGAATTTTTTCTTTTTGTGTTTCAAGGTCTAACTCTGAACACTGCATCAAGATAACTCTTTCCTATATTTCCTTTTCTGTTTACTTCAATTTCCAGTATCAGTGTAGGTGAGAATATGGGAAAGAAAAATAACCATATTTATGTTAATTCTATCATTAATCAAGACCTCTTTTATCCTCTCTCACTTTGTACTATTTAACTGCTTTAGGTTTAAAAATATTTTATTTTCTTAAGCTTTTCTAATTAATCTCTTTTCTTGAACTCTACTAAGAATTAGGCCTCTTCCAGTATTACACAGGTTGAAAATTATTTCACTTGTTAATTTTTATATTTTTTCCCTAAAGGACAATAAGCCCCGAAAAAAATACATTTCACTGTTATATTAATCTCTTACCTCCACCCCTAGGCATACAAAGTTTCTCCTTTTCTCTACTCCTAGAAATACAAAACATTTCAAAATTTGAAAACCATATATATGTCCATGGCCTCCTTCTAATCTTGCTCCCTTGAAAATTACATTCAATCCCATTTCTTCAATTACCCACTTTGCAAGTAATTCCTCAATCTGGACCTATTTCCAAATTCTTCCTGGAGCTCTTGATCTATTTTCTAGTTGTCTATGAGGAACTTTTAGTGGCTGTATTCCCATAATCTCATAAATCCAAGATCTCTAAAATAGCTTATTTTGTTTAAAGGCAAACTTCCGTTGATTCCATATCTTATCATAATTTGATTATACTCAGAAACATCCACAGCTACACAAACTAGCTCAAAAATAGTGTTATTAACCCACATATATCATTAATATTACAAATAAATTGCAAAAAGAGACACAGAAGTGATTACGATATGTTATCGCTTAGAAGCATTTGTAAATCAGCAAATATCACATGGTACAAAGGAACATTATCATACAATCATAGATTTTAGAATTAACACTAAGAGCAGAATTACTCAGCCTACCCACTGTTGTGATACTGCAACTCCTTCCTCTAACAGTGAGACGTAATATAGAGGAAGGGCTCTGGCACCAGCTAATTAACTGAGTGTGTTCACTTAAAACAATTATTTAGTTGTAACTATCTCTTTATCTATAAAATAAGTTAAGTGAGAAGATGCACACAGGTGCCTGGCACAGACAGCACACCACTGTGAATATCTGAGAAATAGTAGCAATATTACCTCCATGTAGACAATACGCTACTTTTAAGGTGGTGAGTGCCAGCATGAGAAGCTAAAGTATAAAACTGATGGGAAGTAATAACATTCCTACTAATAACTTTTACTTTTTAAATGTGTTTATGCCTACTGAAGCACACAAACTATGTCTACTCTCTCTCTGAAGAAAAATTTTCAAAGGGATGCTAGAGGAATCTTTCCATCTTCCTGAAAAAGTAAGCAACCAAAAGGCTTCCTAAGTAATGCCAAAGACTGACTTTATAGATAAATCATTGTTAAAATGATTTTCTGTATTTAAAATAAACTACTTTGAATTTGAAGCTCTGTAAATTTTGGGACCATCAGTAATGTCTCTAACGCTTTAACGTAACAGACAGATATCCAGACAGATCATTGCTGAATTAGAATTTGAAGTAAAACGTCCCCAACAAGTTAAAGTTGTGTTCAACAGACATATTATTCCTTCGTATTTTTATGTGGGACTACCTTTTCCAAAGTTACTTGGAAATCTGTAACGAATCTTGAAAAATATCACATACCTCAGTAATGTTAACTCTATTAATCAGTCCTAAAGGAATAAACAGAAGTACAGAACAAGTTTAATGGGGAAAATGATTCACTCCACTAAATCTTAGGACAGATATAGAATGGGGCCATCTCCATGATGAAACTGTGAAAATTCGTGTTTAGTGTTGAAAATGTGTAACAGAAAAAATTCCCTGATATGAAATCTGAATCATTTCTAAACACAGATGCTACTCAACATTACTCTTTCATCTATAGCACACTTTGAGGAATTATTCCTTTTTTTTTTAATTTTAAAGAGAATTAAAAGGAAACAACAAAATAACAGTATAGACAAAACCAAAACATTTCAAAGCAAAATGATAGGAGTAACAGTATAATGTAACAGTGGTTGTTACGTTACACATTGTTTTTCTGTGAACTGGAGACGGACTTAAGTACAGTAGGGAGTTCATGTGAAGACATGAGAAGACAAGAAGCTTCAAGGTCAGTAAAGCTTAGACAAAGTAAAATCACTGATTCTTCAGAACAGCTGGAAAGTCAGAAAGAAAATTCTAGAGAATGAGCATGTTTTAAGATGGATATACAGGGCTGGGGATTTAGCTCAGCGGCAAAGCGCCTGCCCGGCAAGCGCAAGGTCGTGAGTTCGGTTCCCGGTACCGGAGAAAAACCAAAAAAAAAAAAAAAAAAAAAAAAAAATGGATATACAAACTGCATGGTTTCCTCTACTCCACTTTCACTTCCACAAAATGAAGGGAGTCCGCTCTGCACACAAGATCCCTATCCACACCCACACCCCGGCCTCTCTGGAAATAAGAACAGAAAGGGCAAGAAGGAGCTTGATAAGATGCTGAGTTTCTCATCTGGGAAAACCTGACGAAGTTCAAAAAGAATCTAACAGGACAGGAAGAGAAAATGAAAGCACAAAGGTGGCCTTAGAAACAGGTTTTAGAAATACACAAAGAGGTCAGAAAAAAAATACTCAAATGAATCTTTAAATTTTCTGTAACGGAATTCAACCGGAAGAAAAGGCAAATGCTTAAAATGTATTAGTGCAGAGAAGGACACAGGCAAATACACCAAACCACTTTTCCCCAGAAAAAGTAACAAAGAACAAGAAGAATCTTTTCTAAATTTCAAAAATTAGTTGCTTCCAATGAACTGCTGCACATTTGAAAAATCAGCCCACCCTGATAAACCAAAATGGTTAAATTCTGAGCACTGTGTCTGTCATAAAAAGTAACAATACTATAGTACACTTCACTTAGGTACACTCTTATTTAGAACTCAGCATTCTTTGTCAGTATACATTTAATACTTTTAACATCTCCAGAAAAGTATTGTTTTATCTTTCGTATTTTATACATGGAGAAGGAAAATTGTATTCTTAAATTCTGATCCAATTACAGATTTTTAAATAATTTAGTATTCATTCAGAACCTATTTTGTGAAAAATATGTCAAGGGTTACAGGGCACAAGTCTATGTAGAAAGTGAATGTCAAAGCCGAGCATGGTGGCATACGCCTGTAATCCCAGCACTCAGAAGGCTGAGGCAGAAGGATCGTTGTGAGTTCGAGACTAGCCTGGGCTACAAAGTGAGCACAAGGCCAGCCTGAACCACATAGCAAGACCCTGTCTCAAAAAGAAAGAAAAAAGAAGAAAGTGAACTTCAAAAAAGACTAACAGGGACATCAGGACACCTCTTATCTACCAAAGATTCAATTCTTGTAATTTAGCATGAAGAATCAGTTCTGCTCAGTGTGTAGTTAGGCATGCTAGTAACACTGCCTACACACCTCCAGTCCACATCCAGGTCTTCGCTCACACTGGAGTCGTCCTCGAGGTTGTTGTTCCCGTCCAACATGAAAGCTTCCGGCTGTGCAAATTCATTGGCCGGCTCATTGCCCTCATCGCTGCTGCTTTCATTGACTTCACTGTACTGCAACCAAGGAATCTCTCCCTCTTCCAAGGATGTCTGTTCCCTAATAAAAACATTTCAAGGATGAAAACATATTTTAAACCACACAGTAATAACAGTATTTTCTAAAGAAATCTATGTAGTGCAAGTAGACTCCAGATTCTTTGAGAACTAAATTATTGGTTCTTTCATGATTTCCTTAACTGCAAAATTATTTTAAAAGGAAGCAAATTTGTTATGGAATCGTATGTGCCTAGAAACAGTTCCTACACAGGAACATATTGATTTGATTTACATAATTATCTATGCTCCTTTACTTCCTTTTATTTGGAGAAAAAAAATAAGAGAAATCCATCTTAGACTGTTGTTTTTAAACCCTTCTTCTGAATTAAAATAAAACTTGAACTCCTCAAACTAGCCACAAATCCCATGTAAGCCGTGCTTCTGCCTCAGCTCACTTCTCCAGCACCAACTCTTGTCTATCTGCTGTGCTTCCAACTCTTGTTTCCTCTTGAAATACACGGAGATTTTTTCCACCTTGGGGCAAAATTTTTTTTTTGTTTACAAGACTTTTACAGTTACTCCCTTCTTGATATTCAGGTCAGAGTCCATGACATCTCCTCAGACAGTCCTACCTTACCACTCATAGTTAAGCCAGTTACTGGCTACCACATCACTCTGCTTACTTAAGTGATATAATTTAATTTTACTGAATATTTTATTTGTTTACTGTCATTCTATTACCCTAGACTAGAAGGTTCACAGAGAAAGAAAGAGACAAATCAGTAATACAGATAAAGAATTTAAGCAGATAAATGAAGCATTCAAAACAAGGGAAAAAGGACTAGTCAATAAATATACTGGGCAATGCTACTGGGAGGGAAGTTCGGTCTCTATGTCACTATTTGCTGTTACATAAGTTTGCTGTACTTTCCTGGAATGCACATGCAAGCCAACACCACAACCATTCAGCCATTAAAACAGTACAAGTACTAGGATAAGCATGAGAGAAAATTCTGCAAACCTCTCATGTCATTCTGTCATTCTAAACATAATGATATTGGGCCAGGGATACAGCTCAGTGGCATAATGCATGCCTCACAAGTGTGAGGTTGTGGGTTCGATTCTTGGAACCAAAAAAAAAAAAATCTAAGGGAACTCTAAACATAATGATAAATCCTGAAGCCACAAAATAACTGGTAAACTTCCCAATTTACATTTTAAAGAAAACAGTCAAAGCACTAAAATCCTGGAAAGGCATGCTTAAATTGAGAGAAATTAATTTTAAAACACATGAGACACAAAAACAATTTCCTTAATAGAAGTAAAAACTATAAAAGCAAAGTAAAAAGGAAAAGATTTGTACAAATTGACAGGAGCAAAAGATACTAGTTAGTGGAAAAGGAAATGTAAATAGCTTTTTTTTTGGTCCCGGGAATCGAACTCATGACCTCACAGTTGCTGGGCAGGTGCTGTGCCACTGAGCTACATCCGTGGCAGCTTTTAAATATATAAAGAGATGATCCACCTCATGCATAAGCTACATGATAATCTGAAGAACAATAAACTATCATTTTTTAATGGGTAAAACCAAAAAATTCAGATACTATACTGTGTTGATAAAGAACCAAAGAAAGATAATTGGTACAATGTGGGTAAGAAAGTAAGTGATACAGCTTCTTTGTAGAGAAACACGGCAACAGTTATAAAGTGCATGTGTCCAGTTAGCTAGTAGTTCTGCTTCTAGATACTTCTGAAAAAGTATGTACAATATTTTCTTTACAACATTGTTTATAGTAGACAAAACTGAAAAAATTTACACATCCACCAAAGGTAACTCATATAGCACTTTATATTATATTATGTAGATTTTTAAAAAAAGAATTAAGGACATCTGTATGCATAAATATAGTAATTATTAAAAAACAGATCTACAAATAAAAAAAGTAAGGTATTCATAGTATATCTATATAACATGCTACCAGTTACACACACACAAAAAAGGATGTGTATAAATATTTTTGCATGTATAGATTATTTCCGGTAGTTCCCAAAGGAAATTGGTTATAATAATTTATTTCTTTTCACATTATGTGAATTATTTTTTTTCAGGTATGAGAAAATCTCTATTCTTAAAATGTAATTTTACATGTTTATCAAGAGAAATTAACCAAAAACAGTTATCTCAACAATATGCTGCTAGCAATTTATTAAATATTTTGAAAGGACAAAACCTGTATCATTAAAGGTATAGCTGCATTTACTTTTACTAATATTTAGGAAAGCATCACATATAGGTCATGTGATCAATTATTAAGGATCATACAGTTGTTTAGCTAAGGTAACAGATGTTTAATAGGCATTTAACAAATGTTAAAATCTTGAAGGTTTTTTTTTTTTCCATCAGTCAAATTGTACAGTATTATTTGGACAACTCAAAATTTTGAAAATGCATGAACTTATTTTTTGTTCTTCTCTCTGCTCCAGCCCAGATAATAGTTCTTCCTTGCTAGATTTAATTAGCCAGAAGAATTATGCATTTGAATTTCCATGTACTCAATCATTCTGAATGAATACATCACTGCATCCTTCTGAATGCAAAATACATCAACTGGAGATTGGTACATCTATGTGTATCTTCATCATGTAAAAACTATCATATTGAAGTAGTTAGAAAACTATTAAAAACTGTTAGAAAACAAAATCTAGGTTAAATAACATATACTTATATAAAACTATCTATAATATATGGACAATATATATCTACATAATATATAAACTACATATATATAATATACATATATATATATATATTTTTTTCTTCTTCCACAGATTCACCAAAACTAGTTTGCTAGTTCTGAGACAAAGTCTAAATGGCAAAACTATGAGTAAAACTGTAACTTAGCATTATGGTAAGAAAGGTAAAATTGGGCTTTTAAAATTATCAACTTTCCAGATTGCACAGAACTGAACAGAAGATCTAAGAGCCTATATACCTTTTATAATACAAAGAAAAGTTAGTATTAGAACAAAGTCTTGGCAAAATTCAATTTTGGCTCTACTGTTAAGAGATACAGTTGTACAACAATTTATATATTTCAGCTTTAAGAGTAGCTCCAATTAGAATTCTATTTATATTTGTTGCAAATTTATAAGAGCACAAAATATTATAAAAATTATAAGTAAAATTCTACTGTTGCAAACTTTGAAGAGCAAAAAATATTATACAGTTGGTCCTCTGTACCTTTAGGTTCTACATCTAAGGGCTCAACCAAATTTAGATTAAAAATGCTTGAGAAAAACACTGTACTGAACACATACACTTTTTCCTTGTCGTTACTCCCTAAATGACAAATGCAGTAACTACTTACAGAGCATTACACTGTGTTATGGTTTGTGTCTGGGTGTCCCCCCAATGCCTCATGTGGCCATGGGGCAGGCTTTTAGAATTTAATTGATTGTGGGTGTGAGAGCTGCACCTGCCCTGGGGTGGACAGTTTGCATATGTAAGGGAGAGAAAGAGGGTGCTTCTGGCCATTTCCTCCTTTGTGTGTGTGCTTGTTGCTTTTGCTGTGTTCTGCCGACATGAGCTGTAGCTCTCTGCCATGTGCCACTCTGCCTTGTAATCTGCCAAGTATGGACTGAAAACTCTACAAACTGTAAGCAAAATAAACCTTTCCTTCCTTAATTTGGGGCGTCAGGTATTTTGTCCCAGCAACGAGAGAAAAGTAACCAAGACACACTGTGTGAGGTATTATGAATAATCTATAAATGATTTAAAATATATGGGGAAAAGTGTATGATCTGTATGCAAATGCTGCACTACTTTATATAAGGGACTTGAGGATCTATAGACTCTGGGTTCGACAAAGAAGCCAACCCAGGTGGACACAAAGGAGAGGTAGACAATACCCACCTGGAAGAATCCATGCATTTTAAATACTGTACGTTGAAACAACATCTCTTTATGGATCTAAACCCATCAATGCCTAGGTAATTTCCAACAGCAAACTAACACTATAGAATAACAAGATTTTAAGGTTAGGCATTAAGTATGGCCAGTCTAGTAAAACAGGAAAAATGAACACAACAAAGTTTTGTCCATCCTGTTGAAGTTTTTTAAAGAGTATGTTTTCCTTTTGCACAATGTAATTAGCTACAACGTAAAATTAAACCCAAATGGAATCAAATTGCAAGATCGCATTTGCAAACTGTAAAGAAGAGGCTGATGTCACACCTTGACAGCACCAGTCACACTGTACTGTAACTCATGTAGTGGCTCCCTGGCTCCTCCAGGGCACTGGTGCCTCTACATTAGGGGTCACAGTGCCATGACCCATCGCCATAGCCTCACCCTTGCTAACACTGCTGCACACACAATGGTCGCTCTCTAGCCATACGGTGCAAATGTTAGTAATAAATCCTTGAAAAACAGGTTTCAAAAAACAAGTTAATTATTAAGCCTAGAAAGGTGCTCAGAAATATTTATTTCCAATGTACTCCCAACAAAAAACACGTGACTCTTTTTTTCTATTATAGAGACATCACAATGAACCTGTTACTCTGTTTCAGATGTATAATACTCAAATATACTGGTTAAAAAAAAATTCAGAGTAAGAAGAAGTATTAATTTACAGGTTCTTTAAACACCACAAAACTAAAATAAATAATTCTGAATCTAAATAATTTGTAACCTGTACAAGCAATTCGTGGCTATATAGTTTGCTTATATATTTGGTTCTGTCCTTAATGGTTCATTCTAACAGTTGCAGAGACAGAAAGTAAGTGGGATCCGGCACATGCCAATAACAGCTTACTTACAGTCATACAAATTCTTACTACTTAACCAAAAATGTAGTAGGCTAGAAGAGTGGTACTGTGCCAGACCACAGCTGACTTGATAGTAATATTTAAAAAATGAGTTTTGCCTTTAAAAAACAAAATTGCTGAGAAGGGGTAGGAAGTGCTAGATTAATGGGTACAAAGTAACAGGAGCAAGAAGTTCCAGTGTGCAGTGAGTTGAGTATAAATAATACTCATGTATATTTCAAAAGGGTAGAAGGA